CCTGTCCCCGGGTCAGAGCAGCGACAGCGCTGCAGGCAGCCCCGTCTCCTGCCGCCGTGCTGACACTCCTTCGCCGCGGGCGACACAACTCCACACCGGAATAATCCCCAAATCTGGCATCCTTAATCTCCCACATCCGGGACTCGCATCGCTGCCACACGGGGCGATCCCTGGCATGTACCCTACACACATGTATCCGTTATCGGCCTTGGGAAGCCAGCATCCCGCCTTCTCGTATAGTGGGTTCACACAGCTCACCCAGGGTTACCCCGAGCACCTGAAGGCTGCGGCCATGGCCGGACACCTGCCGCTCGAGCACTGGATCCGGGCTGGAATCATGATGCCAAGATTGCCAGACTACAGTTGTGAGTACCTGATAATACATTTTGTTGCATGTTTTTTTTTTTTTTTTTTGCTCCTAAAACTTTGAATTGAGGTCAACGGAGCAAACAGGTAAAGGTAAAAGTGTCCCTCAAAAGATATCAGAAACAATACAATTAAAATAGAAAAAAAATCTATAATATTGTGGTTTATTTCAAAATTACTCACGTCACAAAGAGTGTCTTTTAAATTCTATACATTTTAGATCAAAAACCCCGTTTGTTCTTTTTTAAATTATTTACCAGGAACGTGCGAAAGTGTGATATTGAGTCGTTATCCTGAAGGAAGTGAAAGAATTATCTTGATCGTTTGACTTTTACCGCAAAGCTGTCATAAAATAATAATAACTAACTAATGCATTCTTCTTCCTCCTATTTTTGTTTCATATCCCCCCTTAGTTTTGTCTATTTTTTATTTAATACTAGTCTTAATATTGTTTTTATCGCGTTTAAATTTCTACCTGTGTTCCTAATCAAAATACTGCTATTATTAAATAATTATAGCTTAATCTTTCTTAACCCTATTGTTTATATAATTCTAACTGTTATGTTACTCTATACAAATTCATAATATTTTATATTATATTATATTATATTATATTATATTATATTATATTATATTATATTATATCACACTGATTCGTATTCAAATATTAATATTTTACTATGCAGAATTAATGTTTATTTAAACATTCACTGAAGAAAAATATTATTTTTCTCACATTTCCGTTCGTTTATGTAGCTTCTTATTTTGACATTTTATATCCATGGAAAAAATATTAGTAAATACAAGATAACCTTCCTTTTTAGATTTATTTTATACACATTTTTTCTGCCGTGATCGGGAGATTTCGGCCACACTGTCCCTCATGCCAAACGGATATCCTTGATGTGTGATTTATTATTTTACAGCCAGCATCATTTTTAATATACGGTATAGTTCGATCAACGTACTGTATTTATTTTGAATTCCTCCAGGTCGTCACGGTGCAGAACCTGCTCTCCCCACGTGCAACATTTTTAATTCTGTCCCATTTATTCTCCATAAACGCCAACCGCATGAAAACGGCTTTCGTGTGACGAAGAAACTATAAACAAACACCTAAAACGTCCCGTAGTTTATCAATAAAAAACCCCAAAAGCCTTCATTGAATTTTCATTAAGTTAATGGCTGGACTGTGTTTTTATGGCCTCTGAGAGCACCGGCATATGTGCGCCTGCTCCCACCCACCAAATTATATTGAACTCCCCCAACACACACACATACGGTAAACACACACACACATACACGTCCTTGGTGTGTGTGTGTGTGTGTAGGGGGTGGGTGTGGGTACACGCAGTCTGATTAAAATGTTTTTGACAACATTTTCTGAATGTGATACATTGACAACATAACATAGACCTGGAAAAAGAACTAAAAGTATTATAATTCATCCCAAAGCGTTTATAGGTTACAGTAAAGACGAGGAGCGAGTTACAAATGCACGACCACAGCAACAAATTAATTAAAAAAAAGCGAGAGAAAAGGCGCTGATAATAAACCGACGTGTCAAAGTCATATTTATATATATTTATACATAAAAATAAATCTGCGCTAAAGTGTTACAAGACCCAGTTGCATTTCTCTTAAAAGGCCGCGAGATTATTTCAATTATTTAAAATGTTAAATTCATACATACTTCGCTGTGTGATGTGCTGTATAATTAACCAGGTGACATTTCAAATGTATGTAACGAATTGAGTGGAAAATATTTTGACATACAGTTGCCAATTTTTAGGTATATTTAAGTCATTATCAATTTTAAAATCAGTAATGAATGTCCGGTGGAATCGCCTAACAGGAACAGCAACAAATATACAACAATATAACAAACACGAGTTTTTGTTAAATACAAAAGTGTTATTTATTACAATTATAAGAATATTTTCATTTGTTCAAATCAATTCTGTTAAACTGCACAACTGTTTAGAAAAATAAGGATTTATATACATATACAGACGATTGCCATCCACCGTAAGGATATCATTATGTAAAAGAAAATATGAAAATAAAAAGTACTACTAAAATGGTATGTAAATGTAAATCTCATTTGTAAAAAAAAAAAAAAAAGATTTCTGCTAAAAAATAACATTTCAATTCATTTTTCAACTGTTTCATAAATGTTTTAAAATAATGATTAAACTACATATTCTAGATTTACCTGAAGTTCACAAAGAGTATTTATAATTCAATTTAAAACATTATAAAAACGACACAGACAGGAATCAACGCTCTCAGAAAATAACCTGTTGTTTGATAATATTCAATTTTCTTCCTGTGACAACTTTTTTTTTTAATTTATGGATTAATTTAAATATTTAAACTTAAAAAAAATAAGACAAAAAAGTCACCACCGTTTCAGTAAAGACACACCAGGGTCAAGGTTCAGTGTACATCACGTCCCTGATTTAGCCCGTGAACCGTATTTTTGATCCACGGTGATTTATTGACTCTTCACGTTTCTCTAATATGTCGTTATTAAAACTCTACAACCGTGAGATTTTAGCTAGAAAGCTTGTCCGTGCAGTGACAGGGCCCTTGTCAGAGGGTGTAAGTACCAGCAGGGTTGTGTAGGGATAAAACATCAGTAACTACTGACGAGCCAAACTATTAAGTGCTTTGTAAGTAATAAAAAAAAACAAAAAACACCTAACAATCAATTCTACATCCTGCTGGAAGTCAGTGTGAACTGTGCCAAGACTGTGGCAACGTGTGGAATATACAGTCTGATGACTCTGCTCTTCCTCCTCCTCCTCCTTCTCCTCCTTCTTCTCCTCCTCCTTCAGCGGGCCCTCAGTCCGGTCTTTTAGGAAAGTGCCGGAGGCCTCGCACCGCCTTCACCAGCCAGCAGCTCCTGGAGCTGGAGAACCAGTTCAAACTCAACAAGTACTTGTCCCGACCCAAGCGCTTCGAAGTGGCCACGTCCCTCATGTTGACTGAAACACAGGTAAGACGTGAAGGACGCCAGGACAAATGTGAGAATCTGAGTTTCCTTGAAGGACCCTCTCTAGGGTGTGTTTGATAATGCACTCTTCATATAACAGAATAAAAGAAAAAAAAATACAGTTTAGAAACCAGAGAAAAAGAGTTTGCTTCCTTCCTTCCTTCCTTCCTTCCTTCCTTCCCTCCCTCCCCTCCTTCCTCCTTCCTCCCTCCCTCCCCCCCTTTCTCTCACCTTCTTCACCTCCCTGTGTCCTCCCTCCTCAGGTGAAGATCTGGTTCCAGAATCGGAGGATGAAGTGGAAGCGCAGCAGGAAGGTGAAGGAACAGGCTGCCGTGTCGGCGCAGTCTGAGGCCGAGCAGCTACGCAGTGTTGGGAAAACGACGAAGGACAAAACCTGTGAGAACAGAAGAGCTGTGAGTCACGCCGACGGAGGGGTTGAGCTGGACATGGAGGACGGTGAAGAAGAGGAAGAAGAGGAGGAGGAGGAGGAAGAGGAAGAGGTGGAAGCCCGGCATGGTTTTCCTGTTGGGATGAACCAATCCACGGACTTCCATCAGCGTGGCACGGACATTGGCTACAATCCACACAGTCCTTTCTCTGACGAGGAGCTGGAGGACGTGCAGGTGGGAGGAGAGGAGAGGAAGATAGGAGCTGGACTGTGAGACAAAGAAAAGACTCTTGGGAAGAAACAAAAACAGTTTTCCAGATACATTACACTGGGACAAATAGACATTTAAAAAAACACACATTTTCATTTTTTACAGTTATCTCACACACACACACTGTGTCAACTGTGAACTGTAGTACTTGTATCTGTACATTTCCATGGCATGCTATAATGACGTGTGTTCATTTCCCCACTTGCATTTATCTGCTTTTCTAATGTCCACGTGTTACACTGTGATCATCACGTCCTTTCCTCTCCTCCACTGAGTGACAGACAGCTGTAGCTGAAATAAAAACACGGACGTCAAGGTGTGAGAATGATCGGCAGCTGCAGCGTCCATCTTTTGTGTACGTGACCTTTCTTTTTTTACTGAAGAAAAACCCCTCAGTGACCTGCAGGACGTCACTGTTTAAACATGGACATTCGTGCATCTTCTGTGAATATTGGTGTGTTTTTTGTTTTTTTTTATTTGCTCTTCGATGTCTGTGACTGAGTTCTTGTCTATAACCTTGTAAATGAATTTTAAGTTATTTGAACAACTGCAGAAATGAATCATATAATGAACATGTATTTATGAGAAACTTGTTTGCGCTGTAGATAAGAAGTTAAGATGACCGGAGGGGAAAAAAAAAAAGAAATAAATGGCTAAACAAGACTTCACTTTCTATCAACAATCCTAGAGGTTTTTTTTTTTGTTGTTTGTTTGTTTTTTTAATGTGTCTTTACATTTTTCTCTTTTATTTAAGGCAGGGGTGTCAATACAGTTCCCCTTGAAGGCCCGGTTGTAAATGGAAGCGTGTATAGATCAGGGGTGCCCAAACCGGTCCATAGGTCATTTGGTATCTGGGACACAGTGAAAAAATGTACTTAATTTTTACTAATATATTTATTCAAATAATTTATTTTCTTTGTTTAAAGATAATCTGACATATTTTAAAATAATTTGATCATATAATAATACAAATAAAATAATAATAATTGAATCTGATACAAACAGAATAGAGTCTAAAAGATGTTTTATTTTGAAAACGTAATGATCCTTCAATGCTCAGCTCCTTGGTACTGGACTGTAGTTACCGTTGGTACTGACTGACCAGTCATTGGAACAACAAAGGTCAGGGACCGCTGGTATAGATGTAACTACTCCATAACAGACTAATACATGTTTCTGCAACTGATTATTATTTGATTGATTAAAAAAAGTTTTAATTTCTCAGGTTAACAAACTCTGCTGCATGGACTTTACTAAATGTAAAGTCACACAAAACAGCTTGGCGGGCCACATTTGGCCCCCGGACCTTGAGTTTGACACATATGCTCTAGTCTGTGATAGTACATGGAAGAACTCAGAGAACACGCAGAAATAAAGGTAAGAATTCAGTTTTCATTCCACAATTCAGTCTTTTTATAGGGATACACTATACGTGGTGATGTTTTTTTTCTCTCTCATGTTTGTGTTTGAGGTCTCATTATTGAATTGCTGGTTTTAGTGCTATTCTATCCTACATTTTAAGATTTGGTCTGGGGCGATGATTAGAAACAGGAGTACATTTGTAACAGTTAAAGAGAGATAAAAAGACTAGTGACTGTAAAACAAAGTCTTCACAAAATACAAACACAAAAAGTGTTGTTGTTGTTCGTAATTACAAATCATGTTATTTTTGTGAAGCTCCTACCACTTCAGTTCCAGTGAGAGAAGCTCCGTAATTGTCTGTCCGTGGTTTTAATTTACTACAGGGGCCCTCATATATTAATTACTCACGGGGGTTTACTGATGGCCAAATAATTAAGTTAATGAAGGGGATGTCAAGCAATCAAAAGCCTTATGGTGATGTCACAGCGGGTCATTTTCATTTCCAGGAGCAACAGCAGCAGGGATGAGCGTGTTTAACTGCTACACAGCTTCTTTTTTTTTTTATTGGTTCCGCTCTTAAGTGCTGTGATTAAAGAGCTGATTGAGGAGATACAGCACAGGGTCGGGTAGTGTCCTCCCAGAGCACACCCACATATTTAGATAGTGATTAAATGCGGAGACAGGGCGGTGAGACAAAGACGAGTTGTTAATGTGCCTTCATGTTCTGTGGCAGGGCTGAGCTGCTGCAGTCAACGTCGAAACAACATTTCCTCAATAATTGTTATGAGCCCATAACAAAGTGATCGTTTCCATGATTTTTCCCTTTTTGATCTCTCTCTCGGCTTTAACATGAGCAGGTGGAAAGCTGAGGTTGGATCCTAAGAGCTGATTGGTTCTTGGCTGCTGGGACAGAACTCAAGCAGGACATTTAATAGGGAAAAGTCAAAGTAAGATCCTTTAAGAGACTGCCGTGAATTGGACATTACAATACATATAATACGTACTATATATGTATACAGTATGTATATGTATTATAATACGTATAAGTTAGAATACATTTAGCAGACACCTTTTTTCAAGGTGACTTACAATTTGAGTCAGTCAATCAACAATCAAGCCACAGTAAACATAAAAATAAATAAAGTCCTCTTCTTTGATTGTGAGTTCTTCTCGGTCCACAATCCTCTTCGTCAGGCAGAGTCAGGGACCCCTCTCCTCTGGAAAGTTTTTTTAGTGTGACATGACCTGGACATCTGTCCTGTAACTTTTTCATATTTCAGTTGTTACTTTCACACAAACTCCTATTATTAATCTACACATTAACAACAGTATCATTTTCCCACATGTTTGAGAATCACAATCATGTTGCGTTACAAGCAAATATATATATATAAATTATTATATATATTGAAGAAATTACACATGTATGTATTTCATCGTTCCATATTAATCATTATTTTCATATTAACAATTGCCTATAAACACTTTATTATTTTTTCAGGTACTGTCTCCAGACCGTGACTCCTAACACTTTATTATTTATCCAGGTACTGTCTCCAGACCGTGACTCCTCTCATTAAACTTCTTGGATTAGGGACCTCAACATGTTTTTGTAACACATTTCGACACATGTTCCCTTCAGTTTTGCTAAACATCGAACAATTATAATTATTTTTGCCTGCTGTGATACACTCGCTTTGTGACCTCTGGATACTGGGCTTGACCCTTGTATATATATCGACAGTGCAGCCTAAGTCCAACTATAACTGCTCTGTTCATCTCGAAGGATGTTTGTCTTACAGCTGCATTTGTCGGTCAGTGTTAGTGGTCAGTGACACAGGAAGAAATCCTAAAGGTCTACAAGCCTGGTTGTAGTCTAAAATTCAGCAAACAATCCTTCCCGGGAACGGGTTTATATTTAGAATGTTTTCACTCACATTTTCAGACTTGATTGAACGACAGAGCAGAGAACACGTAACGCACTTCCAGACTTAACCTCTATCAAACTGCAGCTTTTAATTTGGCTGATGAAAAGTCATGTGAATCAATAGGAGCTCATTTAGCAGTGTGACTTGTCAGCTCTATGACAAATGCTGCTCGGCCTATTTTATGACTTGGCCTCCCTATACCTTTACCCCTTCTCACAATTCCTCCCCTGACACGATACAAAAATCACAGCTAATTCATAAGGCAGCATAGCAATATATGGAGGTCAACGATTCCATTCCACTTCTCATTTAATCTGAATACACGAGTCATCTTGATTAAAAAATCTCCACATAAATTCAATTTACTGCTGATAATGCTGTCACTGGCCTGAAAAAGTGCTGACACCCATTCACCTTTTTATTTTGCCTTAACAATAATGCACAGAGTCTGTGTCTTTCTATAAAAAAAAAAAATCTTTCACTGTCTCTTGAATCACTCAGTCATGCCTGCCATGCTGACACGTCAGGTGTTTAAACTGAGTGCTTACCAGAAACCCTCACATTTTCATAGATAGACAAATAAATTGGCTGCTTTCTGCGTCTGTTGGATTGTAAATCAAGGGTTCCGTTCTGTATATATATATATATATATATATATATATATATATATACAGCCCCTGTTTAATCAATCAGCTAAACGTCAGCCTCATTACATAAATATGAACAGATTGTGTGATCTTTTAGCGTAATCACACGTATTGGTGCAGGTTTCATATGAGCTTGTGTACTGTCACTTAACTAATGGGTAAGTAAGGGAGTGAGTGAAGGAGCCAATAAATTCACATCTGTCAGACATAAAGCCTTGGCGTCAAGTATGGAGAAAGCATAGTATTTACCAATACTACAAAAGTTCACTGGAAAAGTGAGGCCAGGACAAAGCAGTCATTGTCATTTTATGTTCCAGGAAATAAAGTAAGTTAAGGGTTAGGGTTAGGTTTAAGGTTAGGGTTAAAATGAACTATATGTTAGCCAAAAGATTTAAACTTTGCCTTAAAAATGGCTGTAATTTCTGTATAAAAAGCTATTAAAAGTAAGCTATACATTTTAATATGACTATTTAAAATGACTATATAAATTAAGCCCATAAGCCTCAAACCTCAAGTTATTAAATAAACAAAAGAAACTAAGATGGTTAAAATTTTGAGAAATACTGCACACTCAAGACAAGTTAACCATATACGGAAAAATCAAGGTTAATCAACGACAATGTTAATCAAATTATATATATTATATTCTATGATATAATATATCTTAAAAAATTCACAAAATAATAATTATTAACATTATATTATACAACAACAAAAACAAAACAACAGCAGTAATAACAATAATAATAACAATGCATAATCATACAAATTAATAATCAATAATTTATTGTTATTATGAATACGCTTTTTGTGCTATAGCAAGACCGGTGCAAAACTGGCGGTGGCTAATGCTCGTCGCTTTATAGCTACAGTGAGGAAGCTATGATGACGAAGGACCATGACTGCCCTCTGGTGTTGAGGTATAGGTAAACGACCGGTCTGATTGAAGTTTTTCAGTTTTCAAAAAAAAAAAGGAAATTAAATGTTTCAAGTTACTTTTAAACATCGCATGTAGACCATACCATCCCCGTATATACTATATACTATATGACATCATGAAAAAAAATCGCTTATAAATAAAATGCGCATGTGTACTGCAGCATGACTCTTGTGAGCACGCTTGTGGGGTGGGGGCGGGGCTCACATCTACAGGGCGGGTCTTTCAGGCTCAGAAGCACATGATGAAGACTAGGGTAAATTAAAGTGTGCAACACTCCTCAGCGAACTCTGTCTGTCAGAAGTTATCATCACATTTAATTCAACAGGAAGCAAGATTTTAGAGCCTCCTTGTACACGGACTCTCCTGAAATTCTACAAGTATGGCATCATCAGAGCTAGGTAAATTTACTTTATTTAATGCTAATGCTTCTTTAAGTTAACTTTTTGTCACTATTATATAATTTTTTATTCTGTGACATGCGGTATGTTAGCTCGTCTGCTAACACTAATAATCAAACCGGCAAGTTTAAAACGCAGCGTTTTTATTTCTAAAATTTCTTTAAAGAACAAGTGATGAACTTTTCTGTAACTTCCACATTTTCTGGTTCGCAGCACTTTTGAGTGTGTCTGACAAAAGTGGGCTCGTGGACTTCGCCAAAAGGCTGGTGAACGTGGGGTTGTCTTTGGTGGCTTCAGGTGGAACGGCTAAAGCTTTGCGTGATGCAGGACTGGCTGTCCGGTAAATATAGAACTTTTTTTACAACCCATAAAATGCACTTTATTAATAAATAACGAAATAATGAACAAACAAAAATAAAGAAAATATAAAAGTATAAAAGCCATAGGTACACGTTAACAAGTAATTTAGTGATACCAGTCTTTGCCATTTTAATAAAAGCACATAACAGATGATTGGCCAATCTTTTGTCTGTCATTTAATAAAAGCACATAACAGATGATTGATTTTATTTGAAAGGGATACCATTGTATTAACCACTGTAAATCAGTTTCTTCTCATATTAAAATTATATTTAGCATCTTCATCTGTTTGTGTTGTTGGCTAGGGATGTGTCTGAACTGACTGGACACCCAGAAATGCTGGGAGGCAGAGTGAAGACGCTGCATCCAGCTGTTCATGGAGGCATCCTGGCCAGGAAAACCCCCACGGACACTAAAGACATGGAGAAGCTGGGCTACAGCTTGGTCAGGTGAATGACACATGACCGAAATCGGAGGACAGCCAAAAGAAAGATCTGTGCATGTTTAGAATCCATGCTGAGGACAGTCCCCGACAAGTGTAGTTAAATTACATTACGGGACAAACGTGTGACTGTTTGGGAAATGATGAGCGTGTTGTGCAGCACGTGTAGTCAGTTTAGCAGCAGGTTAAAGGGAGAGACTGTCAGTCTGCTGGTCTTGTGACACTCATTTTTTTCTCTATCTTGTCGATCAAAGTAACAACAAAACCAGTCGTCTCAAATCTTGGAGGTCACCTAGTTTATCTAGCATATCAACATTGTGCGTGTTCAATTGATTACAACTGACAGCATCAATTTTCTGATCATGTGATCGAGTTGGACACGGGGGGTAAAGAACAAAATAAAATCCCGCTGTGATAGGAATGTGGTGAACAATAATGAACTAAGGTCAGGAATTTGTATTATTGGCTCTTTAAAAAATAAATAATGAGCTAGATTAAGATGCGCAGTTATGTGAATTATGGAATGAAATTTGCACGTTTGACAATGTGTAAAATTACGCTTCTCTAATGTCATCCGTTTTCGTCCTCTTTGAAGAGTGGTCGTGTGCAATCTGTATCCATTTGTGAAGACCGTTTCTGCCCCAAATGTTACTGTGGAGGATGCTGTGGAGCAGATTGATATTGGTGAGTCAGACTGTAACTTATGTAACATCTAAATATTACACTATAATTTAAATATCACTAAACCAGTAATATCTAAATATTACACTATAATTTAAATAACTGGGACGAACAGGAAATTAACAATTGCATTTAATTGTAACACGCTTTTACTTTACTTTTTTTTTCTTTGCTATTCCTTTTCTATTCACAATTGCATTTAATTGTAACAAGTTTTTCCTTTTTTTCTTTGCTATTCCTTTTCTATTTATCCCCCCTAAGGCGGAGTAACACTTCTGAGAGCAGCAGCTAAAAATCACGCTCGAGTCACTATTGTCTGTGACCCCGCCGATTATTCACTGGTCGCAAAGGAGATGGAAAACTCGGGAGACGCTGACACTAACCTGGACACACGTAAAAGTCTGGCTCTAAAAGTATGTTTTATTTATGCTTTTTTTTTTTTTTTTTTTACAAATAAAATTTTTTTTTTTTTTTTTTTACAAATAAAATTTTTTTTTTTTTTTTTTAAAAAAATTTTTTTTTTTTTTTTTTATAAATTTATTTTTTTTTTTTTTTTTTTACAAATAAAATTTTTTTTTTTTTTTTTTTACAAATAAAATTTTTTTTTTTTTTTTTTACAAATAAAATTTTTTTTTTTTTTTTTTAAAAAAATTTTTTTTTTTTTTTTTTACAAATAAAATTTTTTTTTTTTTTTTTTTTTTTATAAATTTATTTTTTTTTTTTTTTTTTTACAGATGACAGTTTTTACTTTATAGTTAATAGAGAACACAGCACTGTCGGCATGCAAAACCGGAGAGCAAGATATTGTGACATAAGCTGCTTAAAATATTTCCATTTGTACCAATAGTAACTCTATTCAAGTCACATCATACTGATGGTGTTTAATTTTTTTTGCTCCAGTGTTTGGAAGTTTTTTGTTTGCTCAAAGGTCACAGGTCACTGCAAAGTAAACTCCAGTGGAGTCCTGGTATCACATGTGTTGAAATGGGTTTTGAGCACAGAGTTCATTCATCATGGGTGACCTGTGAACTTTCACCTATCTGTTGGGAAGAACTGTTATGTTATCATACCTGCTGACTGACTTGAGTAATGTACAGTAGATAGAACCATAGTTTAACCATTTAACTTCATTTTTTCACTGTGGTAATAAATCCAAATGTCCTATCAATTAATTTCCTCTCAGGCTTTCACACACACCGCACGGTACGACGAAGCCATTTCTGACTACTTTCGTAGACAGTACAGCGCTGGGGTTTCCCAGCTATCCCTTCGTTATGGCATGAATCCCCACCAGGCGCCGGCTCAGCTATACACCCTGCACTCAACATTGCCCCTCAAAGGTAAACCCTAGCTACTACATGTACTGTTCTTGTTCGATTATGGCGAGTTTCTATAAGAAATGTTTTCAGCATCTTTCAAGGTAATTCTTGCAGAATGCAGAACAGATAATGGCGTAACAAAGATTCAATAATGTTCCGTCATCACTTGTGTGTTTCTCAGTGGTCAACGGTTCTCCTGGGTTTATTAACCTGTGTGATGCTCTCAATGCCTGGCAGTTGGTCAGGGAGCTGAAGAAAGCTCTTGGCATGGCTGCTGCCGCCTCCTTCAAACACGTCAGTCCTGCCGGTAAGTCACAGGAGACGCTGAAAACTGAGACATGTACCTGTGAAATCTGAATCACCACCAACCTCCAGACTACTACTTGTTCTGTAGGAGCTGCTGTGGGGGTTCCTCTGACTGAGGAGGAAGCCAGAGTCTGCATGGTTCATGATATCTTGGCAGATCTCACACCACTGGCTACAGCCTACGCCAGAGCACGAGGTACTAAAGGGTATCTGTCTAAATAAAACATGCAGAAGTGTCATAGTTGTGTTTGGATTATAACGCCAAGACGTGTTTAAAAAATCATGCTACAAATTAATTTGGTTATCAATAAGTGGAATTGAAATGTTTTTAATAAAAATTTGCATTTTATTTTTTATAATTGTATTTGAATCATTGTGTTTGCATTGATTTGTCAGCTGGTATAGTCTCATAACAAGTTTTTTTTTTTTTTTTTTATAATTGTATTTGAATCATTGTTCTGAATATTTTGTCCGTCTGTCTTTGTCACCAGGTTCAGACCGGATGTCTTCTTTTGGAGACTTTATAGCTTTGTCAGATGTGTGTGATGTTGCCACTGCTAAGATCATATCTAGAGAGGTAAAGTACCTGATACAGGGAGGAAAAAAACATACATATATTTATTTTTATTTAGAGTATCCTTGAATCTAATGTTCTCAGGTTTCTGATGGCATCATTGCTCCCGGTTATGATGAGGAAGCCCTTAAGATTCTCTCAAAAAAGAAGGCTGGAAAATACTGTGTGCTTCAGGTAAGGTTTGTCCAATCTGAGATGGGATTTCTTTTTTTTTCTTTTTTTTCTTTTTTGATGATATGTGCTCTTGTTTCAGATGGATCCCGACTATGAGCCTGATGAAGAAGAGGTGAGAGTGTTGTTTGGTCTCCACCTGAAACAGAAGAGGAACACGGCTGTTATAAACAAGGAATTCTTCAGCAATGTCGTTTCCAAAGGCTCAGTGAGTCCACGAAGAAATGCTTCATTGAAACGTTTGTAAATTATTTGGATTATTTTTTTTATGTTGCCCTGCATTGTCCACAGCTCTCTGAAGAAGCAGTTCGTGACCTCACTGTGGCCACCATCGCTGTCAAGTACACTCAGTCCAACTCTGTCTGCTACGCCAAAGACGGACAGGTGGGCACAAAACAGTGAGAGAACAAGGCTGGATGAGTCACCGGTGTTCACCTTGGGGTTTGTTTGTTTTTTGTTTTTTTTTTTCTCGTCAGGTCATTGGAATCGGAGCGGGTAGACAGTCTCGTATCCACTGCACAAGACTGGCAGGAGACAAAGCTGATAACTGGTGGCTGAGACACCACCCACGTGTCCTCAACATGAAGTTTCGCAGCGGAGTGAAACGGGCAGAGATGGCCAACGCTGTTGACCAGTATGTCAGCGACACCATCGGAGAGGTACGAAGCAGGGCTGCTAGTTGGTTTTTCAAGCCGATCCGAATTTGATGTTTCAAACTGCCGCTTTAAAAAAAAAAAGACAGATGGAAATCATGCGGTTGCACAGTTACACATTTAGATCATAGATCTCTTATTACATTTGTCAGTGCTGCTTGTCTCTGTCCCGGTGGACCTCCCGGTGTGGGAGTTACATGATCTCCATATGTTGAGGGTTATTTTGGGTTACATTTGTCAGTGCTGCCTGTCTCTGTCCCGGTGGACCTCCCTGTGTAGGAGTTACATGATCTCCATATGTTGAGGGGTTGTTTGCTTTTTGTCTCCGACGTTTGGCCCAGAGCAGGGGTGACGACCTGGCAGTTTCACTGTTGTTCATGTTAAACATTTGGAACGTTAAATTACATTTGTCAGGATGTGGGACAATAATATGTCGGTGATACCAATTAAAATTTATATCGGCCTGATATTAGCATATTATGTAATATCTGTTAGAATCATTATCGGTTTTTCCTCCGATAATGAAAACCCGATAATACAATACCTGGGTTTCGCCAAATGATGTGTGCCCTAAAAATAGTTTTGGGATAAACGGCTGTATATTAAAGTGAAAGTCACTAGATGGCAGCATTGCAGCTCATTTAATTAATCTCATACTCATTTGGTTGTTTGTACAGATAAATATTACCAGGCCTATAGCAGTATTGGTTGATGTCTGTACCGTAAAGTAAGTGTTTGGATAATATCGGCATATCGATATCGGCCAAAGGTTAATATTCGGCATCCCTGATGATAATGTATATTGAGGTCTAAAAACAGGTCAAAAAATATCAAAGTATATTTTTCAGAAAACAAACTCTCTCTCTCAACGTGGCCGTGTGTGTTTTGTGTGACAGGGTCCAGATCTTGAGATCTGGAAGTCCATGTACGATGAGATCCCTGAGCTTCTGTCGGAGACCGAGAAGAAGAACTGGATCAGCTCCATGAAGGCTGTGGCTGTCAGCTCTGATGCTTTCTTCCCCTTCAGAGACAACATAGATCGGGCCAAACGGGTGAGTTATCACCGTGTCGACGATGACAGTTAAGCTGTTGATGTTAAAATGTTGGTGTATTTTTTTAAAAATGTTTTCAGCTGTCCTCACTCGGGTCTCTTTTCTTGCTGTCCCTGCAGAGTGGTGTCGAGTTCATCGCGGCTCCTGCAGGATCTGCAGCGGACCAGGTGGTGATTAATGCCTGTAATGAGCAGGGCATTGCTCTGGTGCACACCAACCTGCGACTCTTCCATCACTGAGTACCAGATTCTTTTTTTTTTTCCACCTGGTTTGACTTCATCACATGCTCTGGGTCTTTTTAACAACATTCCATTCACTTACAACATTCCTTCTCTCATGGAACCACAACAGTGTAGAAGTTGTTGGACACTTTAACCTCCTTTTCTAGTGTTAGAGGAAATGGTAACAAGAAAAGACTTTTCCTTAATAAATAAAGCATTAAAATAAATTAGCCTTTTGTGTTTCTGTTTGGTTCTTCTTTTAAAATGTGTAATCGTTATACTGTACATTTCAAAAGTAGAACCAAACCTGTTGTATTTTTTTTTTTTTTTTTGGACAATATCGGTTATTAAATATTAAAGTATATTTTTCAGAAAACTTACTGCTTATAATAAAATCAAAACTTACCCTTGAATTGCAATCCTGAATGTTTCACAAAAATAAAAACGTTTGAATTTAACTTCAAGAGGTTAAAAATGTTATCCCTTAACATGTAAACGAAGAAACATCTATTTATATTTTGTCCTTGGGAAATTTAATTCCTATGGTTTTCCTTACTTAACCTTCAAGCAGGAAAGGTAAAAAAAATCCTATTCGCTGACGGCAAAAAACAAATTGTTCTAAACATTACCTTAGACTGTAATTGAATGTTTAACCTTCAAGCAGGAAAGGTTAAAAAAAAATTCCTATTCGCTGACGGCAAAAAACATTACCTTAGACTGTAATTGAATGATTAAAAAAAACCAGTAGCCTTGTGGTTCAGGATCTCTCCATCTTTATTAAAATAAGGGACATTTTTGTCAAAGACAGAAACAACGTTTGTTGTCACTGAAACAGAGTACAAAAATAGAAAAGTTCAAATTCTCTCACCCCTCTTCATACATTCACTCATTGAAATTGAAGGGATAAATTAGTAACGTGTAGAGTCCAGTGTGTGAATCACACACACACACACACACACACACAATGCACACGGCAGGAGCAACAGGACAGAGAGGCACATTTCATGGGCTTTACTATGTTAACATTCTTTCACTCAGTGCTTACTGTGCACTGCCAGTTTCTTGTTCTTTGACCAGACCTGATCATTTCAAAATGGTAAACCAGTGCTACGTATTTCGAGTATAAATATGACTATCCCTACTAAAGATACATAAAGGCACAGACAAATATGTGAAAGTAAATGTAACGTGAATTGGAAACAGTATTTTGGACTGTCTTTTTTTTTTTTTTTCCGTCCAATTGAGCTTGAGTTATTTTTAAAATCAACGGTGACACCACACACGATCATGCAGCAAAGGTGGTATAAATATCTGTGGATGAAGGTGTTCAGGATGTGAGCGGGCGGTCGGCCATTTTAGTCGGAGTCAGCGTGGCTTCTACAGGGGTGAGACACTGCAGCAGTGATGGGACCGGGATGGAGGAAAAGCAGAGGACCGATCCTTTATTCTCGAGGGTTCTGGGGAACGTGTGCGTCTGCCAGCAGCTCGGGTCGGATGCACTCGATTGGACAGTGAATGTTCTGGAGTAAAAGGAAAAAGGAAACACTGATGAACTTTGTCGTCTTTCATGAAAATGCATATGCACACATGGACAAACACGAGTACATTGTACTGACCAGTCTGTGTGGCGTGTTGTCTCCATATCTAACAGGCCTCAGCAGACTGACATCCACGTCAGAGCCCGGTATGCGACAGTTCTCACACTTCAAGCCCTGAGGAGACAAAACATCAGCACGGATCAACTACAAGGTGTCTAATGTCTCTGCAGAGAGACAAAACGAAGGACATCATTGCATCTAAACAAAAGACGGGGGACGACATCCTACATGTTTGCCTCCGTAGCAAGTGCAGGTGCAGATGGCTCCCAGGTACTCTTTCTGCCACTGGTTACCAATGTTGTAGGTTTTCCCTTCGTCGTAACAGACAGACGCGTCTGTGTGAAAATTCAAAAATGATATTAATGAAAACACAAAACAAAAAACACCAGACACACCAAGATGTTTAATTAAAAAAAAAAAAAAGCCTTACGTGGTTCACACTTGAACTCTCCTCTCCCATTCCCCAAACAGGTGCAGCTCATCAGGTGTCCGTTATCCGCGTTACGGTCCCAGACTTCACCGATACGGTAGTTGACGCCGTTATCGTGGCACCACTCTGACGTCGGAGGCAATCGTTAGTGTTAGAGTGTGGAGCAGTGATCTGCGTTAGGTTGAGATAGGAATGATCTGCAGTCACTCACTGGAGGAGTCGCATCTGAAGTGGCCGCTGCCCAGGCCCATGCACTTGCACCACAGCTTGAAACCTGTCTCCGACATCCTCTCCCACTCACCACCAACAGGATGGTGGGTGGCAGTAAAGGCATCGTAGCACGTGTCGCCAGTAGAGGGCACTCCTTCTGGTACTACAATACGAAAAAAACCCACGTGAAGTATTTCAATATCATCTGCAGGTCATGTAAAGGTGAATTCCTACTTACGTGCATTTCCAGCAGTGACAATCTGGTCCAGAATCTTATGTTGGAGCGCCCCCTTCAGGGCCTCCACAAGCACCTTATAACTGGCCCCAGGAGTGAGCCCTATCAGGGTAGCAGTGGTGGAAGTGCCTGGCAGGCGGATCTGGATAAAAGAAGCTTTTCATGTAAATATACCCGATAAATACCCTACATTTTGTGGGGGGGGGAGTAAACCAAACTCCGGTCCTCGTCTCTCACCTGAAACATCTTCTCATTTAATTCAGTGACCGGAGAGCAGGACACCAGGTATCCAGTGCTCTCCTTGAAGGGTTGCCAGGAGATGCTGGTCTGAGTCCTGGCCTCCTGTGGAAGTCCCGTGTCGTTCAGCGTGAAACCCCACGGCACGTTCACCCTCACTATGGGCCTCCGACGGCCCTCTGCATCAGGGAGGGGCAAAATCACCAGCGGCTCACGTACTTGCCCACCGGTAGACGGTGGGGAAACTCCACCGGGCCTATCGATTACATCTCCATTGTTGTTATACTCTGTGTACTCCACGTGTTGGCCCCGATCGCCAAACGCTTCCTGGCCACTGTGGCCCACCCCCGGGACACTGTTGTCCAACTCAGCCTCAGGCACATCCAGCCTGTCATCAGCGCGTCCAGGGAGGTGCGGCAGAGGCAGAGGAAGCAAGGAGTCTGGTTCTGGGTGGGGAGAGACGGGGTTAGGGGAAGCAAGCAGGTTAGGGAAGCAGAGCTGCAGTGACACTTGTACGTCAGCAGGAGGAGGCCGCTGTGCAGCGTCGGTGAGCGTGTCATAATGCGGTATTATGAGACACGCTGGGGACATGTATTTTGAATGACATTCCTCTGGGCATTCAAAATAGGCCGGCAGGGTTGTTATAGTTTTAAGGGAGAGCTTTTTGGATGTTTTCACAGCAGCCGTTTTTGACGGAACTATTTCTGTGCTTTTCCGGCAAAACAGTGGCTGCTGAGCGAAGCAGTTGGGATTATCTACAGCAGTGGTTCTCAAATGATCCAACCTCGGGACGAGCTCACACTGTCATTACATCAGAACCGGTCACTGACTACAGTCTGGAACCATCGACATTTAAAATGATGTATGTCTTTAAATGGTGTGGTCTCAAATCAAAATATTATTAAGTAAAAACCCATTTTAACGTCTTTACCTTTTTACCGGTGTAACGGTATAATATTTTTTTTTTTTTATGATGTAATCTCACTCACTTCTGGATCAGCTAAAGCAGCAGTTTCCCACAACTTTTTTTCTGGGGACTCGTATTTTAAAAGTCACAAACCTTTGCGACCCAACTCCTGGGAATCATGATGTGAGACGGCCCCAAAAAAAAAAAAAAAAAAAAACTCCAGCGACCCACCTGAGGGTCGCAACCCAGTCTTTGGGAAACAATGAGCTGAAGGACTCGGAGCTGCTGGAGGAATCTGAGCAGGATGAAGCCTCAGTTCATTCAGACCAACCCCTGACTGTGGTGCATCTTTCTATTCGTGTTTCCATTTATCACAGAACAACAGCCGGAGTCCGATGAGGATACTCACTGGTCCTGATGCTGCCGGCCAAAGGTGTGCTCCTCTGAGAGTTCTGAATGGCTGTGATCTTGATCAAATACAGAGTGGACGGCCTCAGACCTGAGGAGACACGAGGTCAAGCGCTTAACTGTTAAAGGATTTCATACACGTTTGAAGAACTTTTTTTCTAAACTGCTACCATCAACCTCATACCAGGTATGGTGGCGTAGGTCTGACCAGCGTGCGGTCGTGGTAGGAGCTCCCTTGGTGCTTTACCGGACTCCTCGTAGGTGATGTAGTATCCGGTGATTTGTGTGGCAGGAGGCTGCCAGGTGAAGGAGACGGAGGAGGGCGTTACGGTTGTGAACTGAAGGTTGGTGGGAGCCTGGACCACGGGTTGAGCTGTGAAGGAAAACACATTTGTTAGTTCAGTTGATGGTTCTACCTGGATGCTATATAAAACACAAAAAAGATTGTTTCATTAGTGTAGTATTTTTTTTAAACAGTTAATTATGTCATTGTATTTTAGAATTAAAAGCGTATTCCTTGTAACGGTGATAACTCTGAGCTAAAATCTCCAATATCTATTGAGGCATATTTGTTGCATTTATTTTTTTATAACTAACATGTCGACTTGTCATAATTTCTAAAGCCTAATTTCTGCAATTTGCTTAACTATTATTATTATTATTATTGAATGTAACTGTGTAAAAATAGTCTATGTGACCGGTCATTGCCCTCCCTGCCACTAGAGGACACTGTGCAAACTCCTGCTATCATGATCAGATGACACTACGTGGCCAAATGTTTGAATTCCACTTCCTCCATGTGGTCTCCTGCACACTCCTGCTATCATGATCAGATGACACTACGTGGCCAAATGTTTGAATTCCACTTCCTCCATGTGGTCTGTAGGTCAGTATGTAGGACTGTTTCAGATATTGTTGACTGTCATTGTGGGTTTGTTTGGATTTAACTTTATTTATTTTTATTTTAGCTGCTGTTGCTGCCCTATAACCCTGCTCCCACGTCTACAACCACACTGCTTTGACCAAGGATGGAAATTCAGGTAAAGGTCTCTTCTCTTCTTTTTTGTTATTGTGTGTTTTTAGCTTATTGTTTAAAAACTGCTGCATATTGTGTTTAAATAATAAAATAGTGATCTTGGAGGAACCACCTGTCTCTGCTCGGCCTACATGCAGTTGTTCAACAATGTTTGTACTTGTATGGT